TCTTTTCTGCGCCCTCTACCTCTAAGAGATAGGTCACTTGCCCATCCTGCAGGACTTCATGGCCATTAGAGGAATGTGAGTTCCACTATATTCTTTGATCCCCAGGATACCATCCAGAGACCACAGGGCTGCCAATTTAACATGGTAGAAGTAATGAAATACATGGAAATTCATTTGCAAAATTAAATTGCTTTCAGTCCTTTGCATTGTAAAAGGAACCTTGACTGAGCTAACTATTCTTTCTCTACTCAGCATGCATTTAGAGAAAGTTCATCCTGGAAGGAGGAATATTGTGCTCTTTGTAACTGTAGCGGAAGGGTTAAGAATAAAGAAGGTTTTTAAAAAATTATTCTGACAATGGTGTGATTTCATTTGAAACAGGAAATGATACATGCTGTTGAGAATCAATTTATGTTTTTATATAAGCAGTGTTTTATATTAAGTATTTGAAGGCCATGATAGTATATTTTGAGGGATCGTTTATTTATTTTATTTTGTATGAACTCCAGCGTGCGGATGTAAAGCTCTGGCACAACCTGCTCCAGGTTCCAGGTGTTACCAGATGCTTTGGAGGGGAGGCATCATTCCAAAACAAACAAACCGGTGAACAACAAAACTAACAAGCTTCAACTAACTGTTCCAGCCAGTAAATCACAAACAAAATGATCAACTTCTCAATATCTAACGAACCTCCATTCTCCATATCCAGTCTTTTTGAAACAACAACAACAACAGATAGGTTTCTGAATCTTAAAATGTGTTAAATCAGTGTCTGGCATCCTGTATTGCAGTTACAGATTTGTAACCTAGGGTTACATATATGTAACTGCTCCATATTCTGTAAGACTGCATAGTTTTGTTGTTATTGTTGTGTGCCTTCAAGTTATTTCTCACAACCCATAAGTCATATCATGGGGTTTTCTTGGCAAGATTTGTTCAGAAGAGGTTTGTCATTGTCTTCGCCTGAGGCTGAGAAAATATATTTGCCCAAGGTCACCCAGTGGGTTTCATGGCTGTGCTAGGCATCAAACCCTGGTCTCCAGAATTGTAGTCCAGTGCTCATATATTTATACTGTAAGGTTATGTAAATGCTCCTCCAGCCTACCTTAAAAGCAGCTGCATCAGATAAAGGAGGTCTGTGTGCTCCTGATCGGGAACAACCATGATAAGATTTCCAGCCTCTCCCACCAGTGAGTGGGACTGCGACAATCACAGACAGGAACCTTGTTGCAATTCTTTGTGGCAGCCTTGCTTGCTGGTGGGAAGAGAAACATTATCCTCTTTGTGCCCTATTTGGTAACTGAAAAGACCTCCTTTACTGATGCAGATGCAGATGCAGGCTGTTATGGTGGGCTATGGAGATTGGGTCGAGGGATGTTAATTAATTATGCATGATAACTAAGCAGCCAATGTAGAACATTTCTTTTTCTAACAAATAGACTTTAGACAGACAAACTTAATCAATAATCAAAAGCCTCACACAGACAAATTAAATGTAACAAGCAAAATCCTCATGTTTCATTCACTGCAGGTAGCCTCCATAATTTGGAATCCTCCAGATGTGTTGGAATATAAATTCAAGAAGTCCTCAGGCAATCAACAGAGGGTTGTTGATAGACAGACCAATAGAACGGTCAATAAAGCAGCCACATAATCTTTGGATAAGATCTGTGCAACTTGGAGCCAACAAAACTGATGCAATGTACTGGCTATGTATGGCAACACACCATTTTACTAGCTACCAAGGAGAGCTAAAATGTGTGTGGATGTTGAGCATTGGGCAGGTCACAAATTTTGGCTGGTTGTTTGCAAATTGTGCATAAGTTGTTCACAAGTTGTGTTAAGCTTTGTGTGGTATGATTTTCTGTTAGGAGGGAAATTGCTGGGGTTAATTGCAAATCTCACTCTCTTTATTTGGAGAAAGCCAATTTAATTCTATCCTAGTTTAGCTTACTTTTCCTGCAAAAGTCATAAACCTTTCATAGCCACTCTCCATGGAGTTAACCGATTCCTAACCTCTTTTAATTTGTAGCCTCAGGCAGTTAGCAAAAAAAAAAATAGTGTTAATGCACTGTCCTTGGTGGAGAGATTTGATGCACACTTGCCAGATTTTAAATACTAGCATTTAAAAACAGATCAGGCTCTAGCTGGCCAATCTGGGAAACACAGTTTGCCAAGGAACAGAGAAGTAAATGATAACTAGATGTGAATAGCAAATAAGGGATGAAGAAAACTCTTATGTGTTGTATGCATGGACCACAGCACCTGTTAATTAGAAATTGAATCTGAAGTGGTGGTCATTACTAATCATGGGTAAGAGAGCCAGCATGGTGTAGTGGCTTAAGCATTGGACTATGACCCTAGAGATCAGGATTTGATCCCTCACTTGAGAATAAAAATCCAGTGGGTGACCTTAGGCAAGTCACACTCTCTCAGCCTCAGAGGATGGCAATGACAACCTCCCTCTGAAAACTTTGCCAAGAAAACCCTACCTTAGGGTCACCATAAGTCAAAAATGACTTGGAGGCAAACAACAACAAGCAACAAACCAATCATGAGAGGGAGGAAATCTGGAGCTCAGAGCAGGAATATTGGGATAAAGAACCAAAAATATGTATGGATGAACAAGATAAACTAGCCAAGATATACACTAATAAATTATAAATACGCATCAGAGCACATAAGGCAGAAGCTTGGGGGCAGGAGAACAGGAAAGAAAAGGATGGTGGATAGAAATGGAATAAATTAAGAGATATCTTTGCCAACTTTCTTTCCAGCAAGCTTTATCCACTTCGGCTACGGCTGCCAGAGTGAAGACTGAAGAGGGTTCCTGTACCTTTAATGGTTGTGCAAAAGAAGGGATAGCTGCAGGTGTATTTTGTTGCTTGTATTGCAAAAGAACACCTGCTGGAATTCCTTCTTCTACACAACTTTTAAAGGTACAGAGGCCCCCTTCAGTTTTCAGTTAAGCAACCCTAACCTCAGTACCTGTGGAACATAAAAAAGTGTGGAATGGGGGATTTTTTTCCCCCCATTACCAAACTGCCATTTTAGGAAAAGTTTTGCTTGTTGAGGTACATCTTTTGCAGAGTTGTTAAAATCAACGGATTCTCACGAGGGGGGGGGGGACCCAAAACAGAAGAAGAAAACTTCAGGCTCAGTACAAGTTGAATAATTTTGTCATTAATGACGGTACTGCCTGAGGATGCTCTGCTTAAATGAGTTTGAAAACACAAAACCAAAAGTGGTGTCAGTCAGGAGATTCATGGTGGGACATCTTAAATATCTTTTTTCATTGCCAAAAATATCATCAGTGGGAGATATATCAAATCAGTGGAAAGAGTTTTTAACATTTTTTTCGGTGTGCCATTTCTGCAATGACTCCCATCCACTTGATGCTTTATACAGGCATAAAAGCTGTCTAATACCTGAAAGGGCCTAATAACAATGTGTGTGTATGAGAGAGGGAGAGATCAAGGCAATGGCACAGATCCTTTCTGAAGTACCATTTCCCCAGTAAAATTGTGTCCCTCTTCACTGATGCTTTGATTTTACAAATAAATACATAAGGAAATATGATTTCCATCATATCTGCTTTTGTCTTCAGATCTGTGGAAACCAGAGAAAAAATGCTATTTATTTTCTTTACTTATTAAGTACTTCAATACACATGATTTCTAAGTTGTTCCTCTTCATCATTACCTGATGAGTGAGTCAAGTTTTCTGTAATTTTGCAAGCATATTTTTCAAAGAAGTTCCTATATTCATTTGTGCCAATGTTTTTGTGCTACCTGCTGGGTAATCCCTCCCTGTCCTTCCCAGATTAAAACAACACCGTCAACAACTGTAGAAGCATGTATAAAACATATCTTCTTAATATATGCCTCATCTGTGAAAGTTACATTTGGGATTCTATTTCCACAAGCCCTGAAATTCCATGATGGAGTAAGAATGTCCTGCCAAGGATTTTATAGAATGGGTTTAATCACATTGATGCTTTCACTGAGAATAAGAAAGTGAAGAGCTTCAGGGGGGATTTGGGAACGCCTCTTAAGCTTGCCACTTTTCCTTCTGCTTTCCTTCTTCTTTTTATATCTTCTTCCCATTAGAAATAATCCTGTTCAGGAGTTCCTGAGGATGTCATCTGATGTAACTGGTATAGCCAATGAAAAGTCCTATGGCACCTTAAAAGTTAACACATGCAGCTTAAGCTTTCACTATAATCAATGTGTTATTCTGTCATGCCCAGCAGGATACCAAGTTCAGAAAAGTATGTTTCAGTAGTTAAAACCCAGAAAACCTTTATTCGAGAAATTATACATCCAGTCCAGTGACGTTCATGGTCAGAACTGTCCAGCAAATGTTAACATTAGTTAATTAAACTACACACAGATTCATAGTTCAGGAGGACTTAACTCTTATTTGTTATAATGAAATGCACTTCTCTTTATTTCTCATACCATCCCCTTCTTTGTTATAACCAGATCCTTTCACAGAAACAACCTTGAACATGTTTGCCTCATGCTTGTCTCCCTTCCAGCCTTATCTCAGCACCTGTGTCTGAGATCACCAAGACTTAACAATACCATTTCACATCTAATTCCAAACCTTTTATGGCAGGCATGTTGTCTATGCAACTCCTGGCATACATTTTTAAGGTACAAAGGGGTTCTACATTGTTTTTTTTTTCCCTTTTGACAGACTAACATGGCTTGTTGTGTGCTTTCACTTTATTTCTGAAATATGGAAACCCAAAGGTGAACCTATCACTGGGGTTTCTTGGCTGCATTGTTATTCCACATGGAGAACTGAGGATGTGAACATAATATATATAACAGATCATTCTCCAGACGTTGTTGTTGTTGTTGTTGCTGCATGCATTCAAGTTGTTCCCTAGGGCAAACTTATCATAGGGGTATCTTGGCAAGGTTTGTTCAGAGTGGGTTTGCCCTTGCCTTCCTCTGAGGCTGAGAGAGTGTGACTTGCTCAGTGGGTTTCAATGGCTAAGTGGGGAGTCAATCCCTAGTCTCCAGAGTTGTAGTCCAATGCTCACACCACTAAACCACACTGGCTCTCTACTAATATGGCTACCTCTTGAGAAATCAATACAGTGGATAGAATCCTGCTGATATCTTACACACTTACTCCAGCTCAAAGTTCAGCAGCTGGACGTCTGTGTCCAACGCAGAATGTCTGTGCAGTTCAAGGTTGTGGAGGCAGAGTTCTGCATGCAGTGTGATTTTGCATAATTGCCTATTGTGCCTTGAAGGCATGATATTTTGCTTGGTTGTGCCCTGATGTGCATGTTTCTTTCACGTGGTTGGACATTGTGGATTGATCATGGTGCATGCAACAATTCATTCACATTCACTTGGACAACATCACATTTCACTAAAGAGGTGACACTACACAATTGCTATGCCACTCTGTGAGCATAGGATTATGCCTCATCTTTTTGATGTAGGAATTTAGGTTGCTGCTGCACTGCAGAAATATAGCAGTTTGACACCACTTTAACTTCCATGGCTCAATGCTATGGAATTCTGGGATTTGTAGTTTTGTGAGATATTTAGCCTTTTCTGTCAAAGAGCTCTGTTGCCCACCAAACTTCAGATTTTAGAATTCCATAACATTGAACCATGGAAATTAATGTGATGTCAAACTGCTTTATTTCTGCTCTTTTTGGAGCTGGTTTATACTTACTCCAGCTCAGAATCATAATTTTGTGGTGTTTGATAGGGCCTTGCACTCCTTTCCATCTGCCAGTTGGGCACTGTGCATTCAGGTTTCTTTCATACTGCACAGTTATACTACTTTGATTCCACTTTAACT